TCAGGATGTTCTTGCTCAGCCATACTTTTAAAGTCAACTGTACCAGCTTGCACAATCTCTTCAAAGGCTTGAGCTTGCTCTATTGCTCTTCTTGTTCTTGAACTTTCGAGTTGGTGAATATTGTCCAGGGGTTTAAGTAGATGTTGTCACCCCTGGAGCGCAAATTCATGTATCTGAAAGACACAAGTGTGAAGAGAAAGATATTAGTAACCAAATGAAAGTAAAGGCTTAGTGTTTACTAAACCTCAAATCCTAATGCTTCCTAACAATCTTAAGATGGCAACGGCGCCATTTGATAAACAGATTGTTATAGCAAGGTGAAATATCAAATCCCAAACCACAACAATGACGTAGTATAGTAGTAAGGGTATCAATCCAACCTAGGAAGCAGGAAGAACACAAGGAATGCAATGGTAAAGCAAATCTAAGCAAATCGGGAAAATGATTGGTAAAATCGGTGAAAACTAGATGCAATGACCAAATGAAATGCAAAAAATTTTAAAATCCCTGGAAGAGGGTTATCTACTACTAGGAGAAAGCAGAAGATAAAAAATGCAAATCTACTAAGAACTAAAAATTGAGAGCTAAATCGGGTAAAACAGATCGATTCTAACAACTTAAGACGATGACTTCAAATGAACAAAGATGCAAGCTTTATGATAATAGAATGATAAAAAGAGGTTTTAAAATGCTAAAAGAGGGTTCAGGTTCGAGGGTCATATTCAAGAGTGTTCAAAGGTTCAAGATTTGGTTTGAAAACACATAGCTCATTTGATGAGCTTTCCCTAAGCCTTGAAAACAAAAACAAGAACCATCCATGGCGTGTGGTATGATTCACTTCCCCAATCTCTTCTCCAAACCTATAGTGTGTGGTGGAAAAAAAGATCAAAGAGCAAGAAAAACAGATTTCAATCTATGGCCTAACTAACCTCCTCTACATCCATGGCGTTTGGGAGAGGGTCGATTAGTCTCTAGGACTTGGTTGTCAAGGATTTCTGAATCCTGTCAAGGTAAGAAAAGCCCTGGAATCATAGAGATCTTTTCCAAGACTCTCTAAGCCTTAAGACCCCAAGATCCTAGAAGAGAAGGAATGAAGAACAAGAAAAACACAAAACTTAAACCCTTGAATCGCCTCAACCCTTTACCCAAAGAAAAACTACTCGCTACTCATGATTGACACCGAATGAAATGCAATGAAAGATATACTAAGCATGATTAAAGAGTGATTAAATAAAAACTACTTAATATTAAAAAGATTCAAGTTCAAAATATGAAAAACTCAAGGTTTGACAATGGCGGAATCGCCTCACACGAAGAACAGAAAAAGCAAAAGCAAAAATGTAGGATAATGGAAATGATACACGCCGTTTGCCTAAAATGGCCAAACACGCCTAATGGCCTCAGGATGTTCTTGCTCAGCCATACTTTTAAAGTCAACTGTACCAGCTTGCACAATCTCTTCAAAGGCTTGAGCTTGCTCTATTGCTCTTCTTGTTCTTGAACTTTCGAGTTGGTGAATATTGTCCAGGGGTTTAAGTAGATGTTGTCACCCCTGGAGCGCAAATTCATGTACCTGAAAGACACAAGTGTGAAGAGAAAAAAATTAGTAACCAAATGAAAGTAAAGGCTTAGTCTTTACTAAACCTCAAATCCTAATGCTTCCTAACAATCTTAAGATGGCAACGGCGCCATTTGATAAACAGATTGTTATGGCAAGGTGAAATATCAAATCCCAAACCACAACAATGACGTAGTATAGTAGTAAGGGTATCAATCTAACCTAGGAAGCAGGAAGAACACAAGGAATGCAATGGTAAAGCAAATCTAAGCAAATCGGGAAAATGATTGGTAAAATCGGTGAAAACTAGATGCAATGACCAAATGAAATGCAAAAAATTTTAAAATCCCTGGAAGAGGGTTATCTACTACTAGGAGAAAGCAGAAGATAAAAAATGCAAATCTACTAAGAACTAAAAATTGAGAGCTAAATCGGGTAAAACAGATCGATTCTAACAACTTAAGACGATGACTTCAAATGAACAAAGATGCAAGCTTTATGATAATAGAATGATAAAAAGAGGTTTTAAAATGCTAGAAGAGGGTTCAGGTTCGAGGGTCATATTCAAGAGTGTTCAAAGGTTCAAGATTTGGTTTGAAAACACATAGCTCATTTGATGAGCTTTCCCTAAGCCTTGAAAACAAAAACAAGAACCATCCATGGCATGTGGTATGATTCACTTCCCCAATCTCTTCTCCAAACATATAGTGTGTGGTGGAAAAAGAGATCAAAGAGCAAGAAAAACAGATTTCAATCTATGGCCTAACTAACCTTCTCTACATCCATGGCGTTTGGGAGAGGGTCGATTAGTCTCTAGGACTTGGTTGTCAAGGATTTCTGAATCCTGTCAAGGTAAGAAAAGCCCTGGAATCATAGAGATATTTTCCAAGACTCTCTAAGCCTTAAGACCCCAAGATCCTAGAAGAGAAGGAATGAAGAACAAGAAAAACACAAAACTTAAACCCTTGAATCGCCTCAACCCTTTACCCAAAGAAAAACTACTCGCTACTCATGATTGACACCGAATGAAATGCAATGAAAGATATACTAAGCATGATTAAAGAGTGATTAAAGAAAAACTGCTTAATATTAAAAAGATTCAAGTTCAAAATATGAAAAACTCAAGGTTTGACAATGGCGGAATCGCCTCACACGAAGAACAGAAAAAGCAAAAGCAAAAATGTAGGATAATGGAAATGATACACGCCGTTTGCCTAAAATGGCCAAACACGCCTAATGGTCCCCACCCCCCCCCCCCCCCCCCCCCACACTACTGTCCAAAAACGGTTAAGGCCCCAGAGATCGACCTTGAGATCGATCAGTTCACTCGATCGTCTTCAAGGATCGCCGTCTTCTGCTTGATCTTCAAGTCGATCTGGTTGGATGGATCGAGCTCTTCATTCGATCCTCTGGTCGATCTTTGGGTGATCGGGTCGTGGTCTCGATCTAGTTCTCGTTCTGCATGGCGTCATCTACGTCCGTACTCCAGATCGATCTCCTCTCTCGATCTTGGTCTCGATCGTTCCCCTTGAATCGACTTGGGTCACTCGATCTTCTGGTCGATCTCGTCTAGATCGACCTGCCTTGCTCGATCCGCTACTCGATCTCGGGTCCCTTGCATGCATGGCTGAATTCTCCAAGTGTCCACAAGCTCCATCTTGATCCTCCCCACGTCCACATAATCTCCACAACTCCAGAGTGCTCCAAACAACCTGATAATGATGCAAAAGTTTAAAGAATATGCAAAATGCGAATGCAAAGAGACTTAGGACCTAAAATGCAACAAATGGATGAAACTGGCCTATAATGCAAGATGAATGTATGAAAAACTATCCTAAATGCATGCAAAATATGCAAAATATATGGTAATATCACTCCTCAGCTTGGGCAACTCCTTGGATGATCCCCATGCTTCCTCCTTGCTTCAAATAGCTCCTTAGGTACCTAAAAACATCCTTAATGCAAAGAGAATTCAAACTATAACCTAAATGCAACCTAAGTCTAAAAGGAAAGGAAAACGGGACTAAAGAGAAAATAAACATACAAAAAGAAACAAAAACATGAACTAAATGCAAGCCAAAATGATGTAAATATGAGAGATATCACCTTGCTTCCATCACAAAGATCCAAACTCTTAGAGAGCTGTCTAACAAACCAGTAATAATTATAGTCATTCTCTACTTTGACTACTGCCCATGCAATAGAAACTATCCTATTATCTCCATCTCTTCCACTTGCAGCTAAAAGGTGGCTTTTTATATCCCACTTCAGAAAAGCATCATATAATCCTATCATAGGTCTACATGTAGCTTTCCAGGATTCTCGTTGTGAATTAAAACAAACATAACACCGAAAAAACCTTTGTTTGCTTCCAATAGTTGGCCCTGAAATAGTCTCAATCTCAAATATGGTATGTGGATTACTCTCAGAAACCTCTGCTTGATAATCCCATACTCATGCAATATGGGCTTCATGTCTAGCTTTCTTCTCATTCATTAGTTTTGTCTTCGCCTTTCCATATTTCTCATCGGTTACTTCCAAGTTGTACTCTCTCAGGATCTCAATAGCCATATCCTTCATCGTAATTTTTGGATTCACTCTCAATCTATTTGAAAACAACCAAGCAATTGTTGAACGCTTCAACATCTTAGAGCGACATGATCTGATACAGATATGCTCATTGACATAAACATTTAGTTGCATCTTATTTTCCTCTTCTCATAAGAGCAATAGACTCTCCACGGATATTGCACTTCTGTATTAGAGCACTGTGTGCCAAGCTTCAAAGATTGCAACCAATATAACTTGATATCGTATCAAGTTTTCAGAGAGTACCATAGAAGTGCAAGCTTGAAATCTTCTGGAGTATTAAAATTTTCACCAATGCTATGATTACTTCAGGATTCTCAGTTTTTCTCTCTCTACGCTTTTCTTTTTCCTTTTCTCCATTCTCGTCATCTTCAGAGTCATATGACAAAAGATCAGAAATCTTGTCATCAACCAATTTCATCTCCATTGTATAATCAGTCCCAACTTCATCATCTCTTGCAGCCTCTCTCAAGTATTCTACTAAGTCTCTGCATCCTTCTTCTACAATTTCTCCTAAAGTATCAGTTTCTGCTTTTAATTCTTTTGTTTTATGCTTTGAAAATTTCTTTCGTTTTCCTTTTTTTAGTGGCATTTTAATTCGAATAATTGAAAAAAAATGAGAAATCAAAAGGAAAAAATAGATAATTGGAAGATTTCAAATTTTGAATTATGTGATTTTGAGTTGTGAAGATCAAATGCTTGATTTTAAATATTAGAGTTTGAGCAGAACTAAAAATAACATCCAACATCGTATTGATTTCAGTTAAATCGATCTATTAGTCGACTTAACGACATGCTTTGTTTAGCTAAGTCAACACAAATTTAGAATTTAAAGATCAATCAATAAAATACATTGTTTTTTAAATGGATCATTGTTTATTTAAACGGATGACAAATAGATCATGCTTTCAAATAAATTTGAAAGTTCGGCATTTTTATAGCATTTTTCTCATTTTTAGATCGTTAATAATGTGAGTATCCAAAACATTAATTATATACTTTTATCATTTGGTATCTTTTTTCCTCTTGTAAATTACAGGCATGGTCCCAATTCAAAGTTCTACTCCATAAGTGAAATCTAAGAAGCTGTAAATCAATTCCTTCGGCTAGAGATAATTGAATCTACGTGAGCACCTAGAGCTTCCATGATGCTCTCGACCCACCTGCCACTCACGCATTTACAAACCCATGGAAAATCCAGAACCTATTTGACATGTTCCACGATATGAAAAAAAAGATCAAGATTTTACCCTTCAAGTCCTGGTTGCTCGGGATGATACACGTGTTTTAACCCTAATCGTCTTGCAGCTGAAGCAGTTGTCTCTCCTATGCAGGCAACATAATTGCCCCATTGCTCCGCGTTTTGAATCAGATTCATCCACGCCCTGTCGCATACAAGTAAATGATGGACCAAATCGACCATTATAAGAAGATAGTTGAACGAATGGCTGGTAACAGCATTCCCTAATAAGTTTTGCTGCACCAATTGACAAGTGATGGCACCTACCGAACTGCAGAAGGTGAAGCAACAGCAAGAACAGGCGCAGACAATGCCTGTTGCAGGAGCATCGCATCAACACTCTGCACAGGAACCTAAACAAACAAACAAAAACTATCGGTTAGAGTGCATATATACTGTATCTTCTTAAAAGCGAGAATAAAGTGTTGACTAAGCCAGATAAAATATGAAATGAATGACATTTTAATAGTGCTTGTGTAGTAAGTGTAAGACAGCTTACTGTTGTGTATGTATTCAGTCTCAGAACTTCAAACCCACGTCTGGACAACCCTTCCTCTAAGATGCATATCATGGAGAGTAAGAAGCAGAGTAAGGTGGTCAAGTCATGGACTTCAAAAATATTAGAATAAACAAAGTTTGCATGTAGATGTGTGCATAAGTCCATGTACCAACGACGAACTCACACATGTACATGCAAAATGATAGCGCAGAATATACAATACTTTTTAACTTTGGAATATTATCACTTTGAACATGAAAGCCAAAGTCGAAATAATCATTTACTAATACGGATATAAAAAGTATTACATCATATCTCCATCAGATATTTTATCCAACTGCCTAATAAAATTGTAAAGGATATGAATGATCAGTTCAATTCTCATTCTTCAGTTCTGATATATTTTATTCTAATATGGATAACACAATAAGCTCAACTGAATTGAGAAAACCTAACCAATACACACCAATGTCACTGCTTGCTTTTAGAGAAGCCGGGTATAAGACAGACGACCTTTTGCCCACATTCTCTGGAAGCTCCGAAGCCAAGACTTTACCAGTTGCTGAAAGAATGAAAACAAATAGAATGAACCAGCCAAGAGTGTAAGTATTGTACGTTCGACCACTCATCCATAGTTTATTAATATTTATATTGGCATGGCCCCGAAAATAAAAAACAAAAGCATTGATCGTTTGGAGAATAAGTGTAGGTTGGATCATTAATAAGTCATCATATCAGAAAGCTAAATATGTTCACTGGTGTTCTCAGGTTCTGGAAACAAACAACAGCAAGGGTTTAGGTCACATCTACGATCGTCGCACATAACAAGCACAATTAAATGCTTGAAGATGCACATATTGCACATATATAGAGAGAGTAGAAAGTTATGGAACCTTTTGATGGTGTGAAGGCAACATGAAGGGATCCTTGTGCCGATTGCATTGCTTCTTCAAATATGCGGGCTGTTCCAGCTCCCACTACACCTACTTTCACTTTTGGAGAGCTAGCTGCCCTAAGAAATTGAGACCAAGGGAAAAAGGATAATGAGGAGAAGCTTTCAAACTTATAAAGATCATACAAAATGTTAATGAATTCTTATGTAAAACATTGTCATTTACGGAGCTGTATCAGTTATATACTTATATGCATAAATCTGACTACCTAAACAAAAACCTAGAGTAGTCTCATTGCTTCACAATAACAATGACAACTCAAGAAGTGCACTCACTAGCAGCACATTGCATATCAACCAACTTTGTTCAGAGTAGTCCAGAAACTCCCGAGATTAGAGAAAACCCGTTGCATATTCCGACAAAACACTACTTACTGAAACAGTCCAAAATTCACAAAAAAATAGATGGAAGAGAGAGAACGAGGGCTTACTTCCAGGCCTCGAGAAAGACAGAACCTGCTTCTGGAGATGTTATGATGATCCAGTCAAAACTCGTATCTAGCAAAATAAGATTACACATATCAGAATGCCAAAATCTGCCTCTTATTAATTGCAATAACAATCTTGAGAATTTTGAGTACACATAGGTATTCAAAAACATCATTTTAAGCATGAAACTAGCAGTTAGATGAAACAAGGGTCTCTCCATTATCATGAATTGTGAAAAATTGTAGCACGAAACCTGCATAAAGAATTAAAAACTTAGAGCTAAATTATTAGATCAAGAAGTCATAAGTCAGCTACAGCAGAAATCACACTTAATACAGAAGCAAGCCGATCAAAATCAGGTCCTCGAGCATGTTGAATCAGAGGAAGCTCTAAAGATGATATCCCATGTTTCTCCTGCAATTTTACCAGACAAAGCTCTATTAGCCAGTAAGAAAATCCGCTCGGACATTAAAACAGAACACCAACTTGTAATTCGCGAGTAAAATGCATACCAAGGCTTTTATAATTTGTTTGTTCTTTCCCCGTTCTCGGGTTACGACCACCTGCGGAATCAAATTGGAGGTAGAAGACGATGTAACCGAAGAAGAAGGTGAAGAGACATACGGCGTCGACGATGAATCTCGAACCAAGGAAGCAGAAGAGAAAGCACCTTTTTTCAGACATTGGACTTGTGGAGAAGAAGAAAACGGTGGTTGAAGAGATAAGGAGGGAGAAAGAAGCGACGCCATGAAAAGGATTTGGGAGCAAATTGGGGAGGAGAGATGTCGAGTGTCTACCGAATGAATAAACCAAATGTCACTCCTTTGATTTAGAACCAAACCCAAAGCCAAACCTAACCGATGATTTAGAAACTTTTGTCGTTTTGGAGAAAAAAAAGTCACAAATCAAGGATCCTATTGTAGGGATGTTAAAATGGGCGGATCCGGCCCGTTTAGACTCAGCCCGTTTAGATACGTCCCGTTTATATAATTTATTATTATTTTAAACTCATTTAAATCTGCCCGTTTAAACCTGTTAAAACTAATACAGATTCGTTATGGCTCGAAACTTCAAACACAATTCAAACGTAATAAACGATTCAAACCATTCAAACCTTCAAACCATTCAAACATAACTTCAAACCATTCAAATGTTATAAACACAATTCAAACTAGTCAAACGTCAATAACATTTGTAACAAAAAACCATTCATAAAGTTTAACTTCAAACAACATAACTCTAAGATAAAATTAGAAAACTTATCATGGATTTTATAATTTACATGCTTGAATCTTCTCCTGCTTTTGAACTCTTTACTCTTGAATCATTGTAGAGTCATCGTTATCTTTTGGGGTACTTATAATTAATTTAAGATGTTAATTAGTATTTGTATGTGGATATGAAATAAAAATCTTGTAAATTAAAACATGTTACCCTCATAATCCGCAAAACCACACAACCAATTTCGAGTGCAGATTAAAGCTTGAACGTTGTCCGGAAGCAAACGGTTTCATTAAGGAGCCAACACCCGAGATCCAATGCTGAAAGCTGATGCTGAGCAAATCACGTGCCATAGTTGCTAAGTTACCATATCGACATTCGTTATCCTTCCAATATCTCAAAATATCCAAATCTGGAAATGAACTTCTTTCTAGCCTTGACTCATTCAAATAAAAATCTAAATGTGTCTTTGTGTTATTCACACCAACTCCAATGCTTCTTTCAAGCTCAAAAAGATTCTACATTTTAACAGGACTTGTTAAAATCATATTCAGTCATCTTCAAAAAGTCAAAAAAGTACTTACATTGTCAAAATTATCTTCAAGTGAAGATTCAGTAACTAAATCATGTGGAGTTGGTATTGGTGAAACACTTGAAGAAGTCGTACAAGACCTGGCACAATAATCTTCATAGAGAAACTTCATTTCCTTTTTAAGTTTCTCAATTTTTCACTTATAAGAAATGGGATCCACTGCTTCATAAGCTTTTTCAATCATATGCAATTTCAGTCTTCGACCTAACACAGCTCCCATAGCCAAAATAAGGCTGTACTCCTCCCAATACTGATTAAATTAAGCCTGCAGTCTTAACCATTTCCTTCAAAGCATCATCATCACAAAAAGGCTTCAAGAACTCTCTGATCTTTTCTCCACAATTCCAAGCCAAAAACTTATAGTTTGTGTCATAAGATTCCATACTAACAAATGCTTTTCTAAACTTTAACGCCCGAATAAGCATTTCATAAGTAGAGTTCCATCTAGTAAGAACATCAAGTGATAAACCCACTCCACTTCTAATTCCTACTCTCTCTACACATGCAGCAAATGCTTCTTTCCATGATTGAGATGTTTTCACATATCTAACACTTTTCCGAATGTTATGCAAAAGATTATTTACCAATTCTTAACCTTCTTTCACTATGAGATTGAGAATATGGGCACAACATCTCACATGCACAAATTATCATCACATAATAAGCCACTGCCACTCATCAATTGAAGCCGACCCTTGCAGATTCTTCTCTGCACACGACTATTGTTAGTAGCATTATCTAAAGTAATAGAGAAAACTTTTTTTTCTCTAAACCCTTTTCTTTCATACACCCTAGAACCTTATTAGCAATTTCTTCTCCAATGTGTGGACACTTCAGATAACAAAACCTTATTAGAATCTTACTATTTAAACTCCAGCTATCATCAATGAAGTGAGCAGTTAAGCAAATATACCCAGTAGATGTCAAACGATCTGACCATAAGTCTGAGGTAAAACATACCCGACCATTATGATTTGCAAATACCTCTTTCAGATTTTCTTTTTCAATCTCATACCCGCTGAAAACATCTGCAGCAGCAGTTTGTGTGCATATTGGCTGACAATCTGGATTTAAATACTTGTCCCTCGCTCTAACTTTCTGATACTCAACATATCGGAATGGTAAATCATGATAGATGAATATCTCACTAGTCATCTCACAATCTACCTCCTGATTATATGCATGCCTATCTCCCTTCTTAGGCATCTTAGGACACTTATCTAGATGACGCTTCAAATGATTTGTTCCATGTGTTCTACTGTTTATTACGAACTTTATACCACAGTGGAGACACTTGCCCCTTTCTTTGCCATCTTCTTCAACCCCAACAGATTCAAAATCGTTCCAAACAAGTGAAGTTTTACGTCTCTTACACACAGCTTGAGTTGTTTGAGTTTCACTTTGTGCTGGTGCTTGTGTTTCTCCCACTTCCTCATCAATCTTAATCTGACCATCTTCCTCATCAATCTCAATCTGAGCATCTTCCTCATTCATATATATATATACTCATTCTGAGCATTGAGAAACGCCATTGTTTGTTGTGATTCAAAATCCATATATGCACACACAAAAGCATAACAATCTGAATTTATAAGAAACATACAAAATCAAAAGCTTCATGAATCGCTAACCCAGTTTGTCAAATACTAAGAATCGCTAACCCAGTTTGTCAATACTAAGAATTGATAACCCAGTTCTGAATTAAGAAGAAACAAACAAAATCCACCACAGAGAGCAGTTTGATGAATTGCTAACCCAATTCCACGACGGAGAGAAGCGACACAAAGGAAGAGGAGAGAAGCGAAGCAAAAGAGGAGGATAAAAGCGACAGAGAGGAGGAGAGAAGCGAAGCACATGGGGAGGAGAGAAGCGACAGAGAGGAGGAGAGAAGTGATGGAGATGAATTATACTAAACTTGTCGTTTTGAAATTTGGAAACAATTATTTTTCCAAAAATTAATTGGGTTAAATAGACTATCCTTTTAATTTTGTCAAAACATAATTAATAAACGAGCCTAAACAGGTTAACCCGTTTAAATCCATTAAAAATTATTACATAAATAAGTTTAAACATGCTAATTTTATAAAACACACCCGTTTTAGATCCGCTTATATTCAGCCCATTTTAAACTGGCTGCGTGTAGACGACTTTTGGCCGTGAAAACTTTAATTGCAAAAATAATGATTATTACTTTTAAAAAATTCTAAAAGTTTGATTGGTGACAATAAATTACCAAAAACTGTAATTATTATTTGAAATATTATTATTTTGTCAAAAATATATAATACGCAAGTTTCCAATACACAAATGATATTTTAAACGAATTTAAATAGGTTATTTTACCACATATCACAGTCAAAATTATTTTATTAGTAATAAAATTTCATACTTAAATATTTATATGAATAATCAATGCATAGAAGAATAAAAATTAAATGTTTCAGAAATAAATTAACTATAGATTTTAATTTATTAACTAGTAAAAATATACTTAACTAAAAGTAATTGTTTATGAATAAAAATATAATATACTATTTTTCTTAGATTTTTTATTTGATTTTATTTTGGTTGTGATAAATATTTTGTTTTAAAAGAGTTTAATTTTCTTATAACAAAAAATAATTTTTATTAAAAAATTACAATAAGTAAAAAAAAAAAATTACAAGCTCACAGCCATTTAAAAGTTTCATGCTTTACAAGTTATACATAGCAAAAAAAGTTTCTACAATAGTTAAATAATTCCAATCAAACTTAATCTTTTCATTTTTTTGACAACTAAAATATTTATCTCTTCATTTTTTTTGTCTCTGCTCTACAAGTAAGGGTAAGCATTTCGATTTTTGGTTTGGTTTCAGTTCGATTTTTTTGGTTATACAGTTTATCGGTTTTATAAAAATCTTAATCATACAAAACCACATATATATATATATATCGGTTTGGTGTGGTTTGGTTTTCTATGGTTTTTGGTTTTAATAAAATTAAACTTATACAAAAACCTATGTAATGTTTGGTTTCGATTTTTCAGAATTATACTATTACACAAAAATTTGATTCAAACTAATGAAAATAATAATAATAGATATGAGTGAAATAAAATAAAAAGCTTAAAAAATAGAATCCAAATCATAAAAAATCTATCAATAAAAAATAAATTTGTAAAAACCAAAAACTTCAAAAAAAAGATTCTTATTATCGTCTTCACTATTCAGCCACTATTGTTCGTCTCATCATACTGTTTATAAATGTTTTGTGGTTAGTCATATTTATAGGAAAAATAGAAAACCTTACACGTTGGGACCACTTTTCCCAATACAAGCTGTTCTCGGCTTGAGGCGTATCAGTGGAACTGGTTGGGGAAAACTGCTGTAGACTTGTATTCTTCGGGAATGCGACGAGCTGCAGAGATCTTGCTATTCAGGTGTCTTGTGTCGGTTTCACACATTGGGCTTGATTATCAGTGAAGTGCTCCGTAAGTTGTTTCACATCAGGTTATCCACGTTGTATGAGTCCGATGCTGCAGGAGAAAACATCTCTTTGCACGGGCTTCGATGGTCCTTCATTGGGGTCAGTGTGTTGTACGTGACCTAATGTGTAAACTTCCTCCATGTCTTACGTACCTGAACAACACTCCTAATATGTAAGAATATGCAGAATCCTAATCTAATGCTTCCTAAACCTAACATGAGTGAAAAAATGCGAAACGTAGGACACATATACATGCGTGCAATCCTAACTAACATGAAATGCATGAAAAATGGTGCAACTTGCAGGGATATGACAAGTATGGTTTTTATCCTAACTTGGTCAATATGCCCAAGCCACCTACTTAGACCGAGGTAGTATAGTGGATGGGGTTTAATCAATCCTTTTAGGGGTAAGCTTAATGTCAATACGGTTTAGATTGGTCACATTTAAGTCAAGCAAGCAAATAGAGACTGGATTTTTCAACTAGCAACCTAACAAGATTTGGATTTGTGTCACTCAAGACCATAAAAAAATAAAAGCATGAAATTTAGCATTTTTAAACAAGAGACGGTGACTCAAATGATTAAAGGATTAAGCTT